TCAGATAACCGCCCAGCCTTCAGGAAGAAGCCATATTTTATTCAAGCCTTGTTTTTCATATATTTTAAAAAATTAAATAAAAAATGCAAGCCAAGTTATAAATGCGTGCCCATTTTATTGAAAGTGCGTATGTCATTTAGGCTAAGTCTTGTATTAAAAACAGGCCGATTTGTGAAGAAGAATATGTCTCTGTTCGGGCTTTGGTTCAGTTGTTTTGTTGGTCAACTGGTATTGTTAAGATAGTCTAAAATAGGTTACAATTTCGAGCTGGAACCGCTTCGTCTCAAAAACCCGTCTGCAGCCGGGTTCAAGGTATCAGTTAGCGTCCACACCTAAGTTGTTACTTAATGCCGAAATTCTCTAATATGTAAGTTTAGTTAGATGAAATGAGACAATCTTCGCATAGGTTTAATCCAGGTATATTCCGCCAGTACCCCAACTTCATGGCGATCGCCTTTATTACCTTTATTAAGAGTTTCATACCCTGCCAACATGTTTATATAGCTAAAGAGTAAACAAATGGCGCATATAATTGATGTCTAGAAGAGATGTTTCTCTTAAAAATTGCCATATAGTTGGCTCATTTAATCAAGTTATTGGCGATTCATAATTTAATTTTGTGCTTAACCGTGCTACAAGAATAGTTAAGACATTTCTTAGATTGTTTGGCTGCGTATTTAGATGCGCATTATTAATTACACAGCTCTCAAATATGGTCAAGTGTATACCAGGGCATTATCATATGCTAATACCTACATACGAGCAATTTGTATCTGATGAAGGCGTTTGTTTTTCTTTACGAGCACCAATTCCGGGGCTTGTAAACAACATTTCAGATACGATTCGAAACTCTATATCAGATACATATAAAATGCTAATTGCATTTAAATACAATTTTATTCATTCATCCATTAAATATATATATATATACGTATATATACAGATCTGTATTTTTTTCTATTAATTTGGGTTTTAATTTAAGCATGGCCGGAAATCTAGGGGAAAAAAATGTGCTTGTAAAATAGTTTTGTTCATTTTCATTATATTTAATTTCCGTCGGCCCAAAAGACAACATTTGCTTGCTTAATTTTTTTTTCATATATAACAACAAAAATAATGCCTAAAAAAAGACAACAAATGTCGCGAGTGAATTTTTTTAAATATTCCGTTGCCATGTCGCTTTTTTGTTAACATTTTTTTACGACTCTTTTTTTTTTTTTGGCTAACAATTCTGGTTAAAATGTCAACGAACAAAAGTGAACAAAAAAATATTATTTAAATTAATATGTGGAAAAAACGCGCCTCAATAATTTTTAGTGCTATTTCAAATAAATCTATAAAAATGAATAGAAATTTTGCTATAATCTTGCGCTTTGCAGTTACAATTAAAAAATTTTACCTTGAACTTGGCATCATATATACATAATATATACATACATAAGTACTTATATGCAATATATATAATATAATAATTTATATATGCAACATCGAAGCGTTGTCATTCATTAATTCACAATGATATTAAATTCCAAATGGAAAGCGAACTTTACGATGTCTTTTTTCTTGATTTCGAATTTGGCCTTTTTAACAAATTGAGCGAATCGATATTTATCGATAACATGGCACAAATACTGTAGCAAGTAAATTAAAAAGCTTTTACTTCTTATTCAATTTCCTATAAATGCATAAATATGGAGTTGAAATTGAATGCACAATGTCTTGCGTGACTCTAAGCAATCATGAGTGAGCAAGTGTACTAATCGATATGCTTGATATCGATAAATTTATCGCACAAAACTTGTGAGTGAATGCATTCGAATTGTTATTTCTAACTTCGTAGAATAAGATTCTAATGTATTTGCTATGTTGAGTTATATTCAAATAATTTTATGCATATTGTTATAAAAGACTTTTTTTGAAAATTATATTTTATCGATACTTTTAAGGCGAACTGCAGCAATATATTTAAAATTAACTTATAATAGAGAATGTCATATTATGATAATTGACTTCGGTCGGCTCGCGTTCGCCTTGATGATTTATTCTGTCCATTTTGAAAGGAAGTCACCTGTACTTAATAAAATTGGCCTGCTTATAATTGGCAGCGCCCATCTGTTTGAAATTCAGGCAATTTGAAAGTGGATCACGCTTAGGCCAATTGGCAATCCAATTGGACTTGTCGAAATGCCATTTGCTATGTTTCACAAGTATTTTCGATTTCAAATAATTGACCTGCAATTGACATTATTCATTCAAGAATTGAGACCAGTGTCAGCTGGTTTTGGGCCAACCGGCATTTTGTGTCCTTGCCCACTGTCAACGTCAATTTGCCGCCTGGTAGTCATTTAATTATGCGTCTTGTGTAAAATCTTGCGGCTTACGCAGCTCATTTGTCAAATGCCCAAGGTCGCGACAGATTGCTGGGCGGCCAAACCTGGAACCTGGTTACCTCTGGCTTTTCGGGGACCCGAGGGCCTGGCCTGTTCATAATTTATGCGGCCCAAATCAATCATATTCAATCATGAAGCTGTGTGGTGTGCCTGACGGATGGCTAAGCCCATGCTAGACTCAAGCCGAAACCGGATTTTCCATTGACAAATGTTATGTAATCAATTTGGCATTATTAATTTGAATACACGCCGCGCTTGACACCTGTGCACAGCAACCTCAGGGCACAGTGCCAACAGTCTATGGCCCCACAATATCATCCCAAATGCAGAGGCCGCCCACAATTCAATTGCTTTCACATAGTTTTGCACACTCACCAAATAAAGCGCTACGAATTTGGTCAACCAACTGGTTTGGCCAGTGAAATGCGCTTTTAATTGAATTCAAACTGATTTTATTTGCATTCGGCATATATATATTTATATATACATATATGTGTTTCTATTTGTGTTTGCCAGCGGCTTAATCAACCAGTTCACAAATCTATTATTATTTGTTTATCACCAAGTTGTATCTTTTTAATTGCTTTTAATCGAATTTTTATATTTACAAAATACATAAAATACGATAAAATAGTTGGGTTTTCTCTGTTTTTGATCCTGATCCAAATCCGTTCTTTATTTTATTTTGTTGGCCAACTTTAAATCTTAAATGAATTAAAGGGAAATAATTCTTTGTATGCGTATTTATTATTATTTTTTCGTTGCGGTATAAGATCAAATGAAAAGCAGAGAGCTACCCATAGAAGCTTTACATTCAACCTAACAGCCTGTTAAGCAGGCGAATAAGAAGAAGACTTAAATATGACCTACCCAACAGACTAAGTCGATCGATGTCTTTAGTGTCAGCATGCAGATCCCCCAATCAAACTAGAACGTAGACTAGATAAAAAACATAAGCATAACCAACACACATAAACAACAAACTGTACATCTAAACTAAACTACTTTAAACCATAATTCACCTGATCCTCGCTCTGATAAAGGTTGCTAGATATGCTGGAAAGCATAACAGAAATTCTTAAAAAAAAATATATAAAAACAAGTAACAGGTTCTAGTCGGGAGCTCCCGACTAGGGGATACCCTGAACCCTCTTCTTCCAACATCAAATGCATATATATATTCTATTTTAGAAGCAACATATCATCTTTCGTGACTCTAGCTCTTATTATTTATCAAAATTGCCCAAAAAACTGGATATCGATATCGATTTTTATCGATTGCTTTGAAACAGAGTAAGTTATCGATTATCGGAAACAAACGCGATCTGCGCAGACACTAGGGGCACCTACATCTAAAATTTCAAGTCTATAGCTCTTATATGTTCTGAGATCCTTGCGTTCATACATACGGACGGACAGACGGACGGACATGGCTAGATCGACTCGGCTATTGATGCTGATTAAGAATGTATATACATTATGCGGTCGGAGATGCTTCCTTCTGCCTGTTACATATATTTGGATTTTGCACAAATACAATATACCCTTATACCCATTTTTAATGGGTTCAGGGTATAAAAATCGATTGGGAATAACGCTCTCCTATGAAAACAAATGCTGAGTAACATATCTTCAATATATATTTATAAGATATATCTTCATCTGCAATTAGCTTTATTATACTTTTAAAACATTTTTCATTTCAAAGCGATTGGAACTTTAAGTTTTCCGCCAATTTCCCACTGTTGCTGGTATGATTTCCCAAATCGCTGAAACAGGTATTCCTTAAGTTCCTAAATAGAGCTTTGAAAATAAGTTTGAAGCAAATCGAACAAAACTTACAACTTGGCCGAAAAAATCTTTAAATTGCATTTCTATCGAAAGTGTTTGGATTCTGCGAAAAGTATGATACACGTCTCAATTGATTTTTCATATAGATCTTTGAAAATGAATTTGAGCGCGAAATGTCACCCACCAAATCTTTAAATCCCACTTCCATCAAGAAGAAATATATTTTTGGAAAAGTGTGAAACGCCTCTCAAATAATTGTAAACAAAAATCTTTGAAATTGAGTTCGACGCCGATCGAAAGGTAAAGCAAAAAAGTTTTTTAGCGTTGTTTCTATACCTGCGGGTAGAATTTCTCTAACGTTGATAATCAATTAGTCAGTTAGTCGGTAAGTCAGGAAAAATAGTTTTATATATATAGGGTAGAAAATGTTATATATTTCGTGACACAACTAAACTATCCTCTGTCAGGGTATAAAAATGTTGAATTGAACATTTCGGACACTCGAATGGGGAATTACAAAAGGTGGTAAAATTTGTATTCCATTATAATTGACTTCAAGTCTAAATAATTTAGTAGGGTACAGAAGCTCGATTATGGGCAATTTGTTAGTCAAAGAAAATCCCTGAAATAGATGTAGCTGTAGTTTATGTGTGGCCGTTGTTAATGGATTGCATTAACTAGTCGCCGGCGGGGTGTGAGAGATGGGCGAAATGTCGCCGGCTAATTTGATGGCAATTTGCATAAATCACCAGTCGTCAGTCGGATCGCTATAAAAAGGAGCTGGCAAGCGCTGAACAGCCAAAAGTGCCCACATACAAGATGTTGCTGTTAGATGTGGACTCGACGCGGGCGTTTACTTATCAGTGGATTGTTTGGCGCCTGTTTGGCCTACATCCGGCGACGGGCAATTCGTTTTGGGCACGGCATTATACGGCATATAGCATTGCCTTTAATGTGATCGCTAATATTTGCATACCATTGTCGTTCTATGTGGGGTGTCTGATGAGCCGGACACTGACCGAGTTCTGTGAGAGTTTTTATGTGGCCGCCGTTATCATTGTGGAGCAGCTGAAGCTGGCCAATGTGCTGCGGGTGCGTGGACATTTGATGAATCTACATGCTATATTGCGCCAGCTGGATAAACGCCTGCAGTCGGACGAGGAGCGGAGAATTATTGAATATAAGGTCGAACAGTCACGGAAAATATTCCAATGGGTAATGCGACTATTTTTGATGGCCATAGCAAGCGCTGCTTGCCTTGTACCCTTTGCGCCCGATCAGCAATTACCCTTCCCCGCCTGGATACCGTGGGACTGGCAGCGTTCCCGACATATCTATCTGACAACAATATGCCTGCAGAATATTGGCGTATTCATATTGGCGGTCATAGCCCTCAATAATGATACCTATCCGGTGGCCTATCTCATCGTGGTCGCTGGACATTGCAAGGCGCTGGCCCTGCGCATCGCCAAGCTGGGCCATACTAGTGATGTGACCCAGTCCCAGACTAATGCCCAGATGATTGCGTGTATCGAGGATCACAAGACAATATTGCAGTACGTATGTACTATATACCGCGTACGACTTGTGTGTCTTACCTGCTTAGTTTCTAACAGATTGGTGAATACCATGGAGAACTCCGTCTCGTTCGCCTGTTTCATTCAGTTCGTCTGTACGGCTACCTCGCTTTGCTCGCTTTCCTTTTTCGCATTCTACGTGGAGATGAGCCTGTTAAAGATGTTGCATCTGTTCTTTATGCTGCTGGCCATCATTATCGAAACGTTCATCGTTTGCTATGCCTCCGAGCAGGTCACCCACGAGGGCGAACAGATGGCCCATGCGATCTACGCCTGCAATTGGATCAATCAGTCTGTCCAGTTCCGTCGCAACCTATTGCTAATGCTAATGCGCTCCCAGCGGCCCATTGGCATTGTGGCGGTCAAGACATTGCCTGTGCGTATGAGAACCCTGGTAGCGGTAAGTACCGACTACTCAACATTTAGTTTCCATAGCCATCCTATATAATAGAGAGAACGCTTGCAATTGCTGAGCTTGATGAAGATTTGTTGCAAAATCGGTCAATTTCGGCCAATTCCTTGTTAGAGCTCGTAAGGTCCAGGTTTGGCCAAGATTTCTTGATAAACAAAATATGTTGGAACTTTAGTTTCGACCGTTCTTTCCTATGTCAGCCATATTATATCGCATATATACATATATAGTTATCTCAGCCTTTCTTTCCTAAGGCAGCTATTAGATATAGAGGTACGATCAGGTCCATTCCGACATATGTGCTTCCTGCTACAGATATAGATTTTTTTAATACTGAGGGACGGGCAGAGGGGCAGACCTTAAAGGCTTGTATATGCCTGCTTCTATGCGTTACACACTTCTGGACGAAATTGAATAAACCCTCTATAATTTTATACAAATGAATGCATTTTAGAAATTAGACGCTGATGAGATATATTTCGCTTACGTGGCTTTTCAATTGTCTGACTTAATAGTCAATGTCGCCAAATTTAAATTGTCATTAAAGTTATTTTTTCAATTAACAATTTCTTAATGGGTTTTAAGAGCAGCTTAGAATATTTTTTCAAGCAGATTTTACAATTTAGTAACTCGTAATGTTTCCAAATCAACAGAAAAAAATGTTTGATAACCGATTTTTACAGCTTTAGTAAACGTTGTATAGAACTTTGCAAAAAATCAAATTTTCCACAATTAAAAAAAGGAAATTTAATATAATATTTTGAACTGTTTTTGGATACTTTAAAGAACACCGAACTTAATCCAAAACTTAATGTACAGTGAACTGATTCAATTAATATGCGTGCCTGATGTTTCAGATATACGCTCGCTAAATGTTGTTGAATCTGGCTTTCTTTGCAGGTTATCAAAGGCGCTTACACCATGTTCAGCCTGCTAAATGAAGTCAACTCGTAGAGTTAAATGGCAATTGTATGAAGCCTGCAAAATGCCTGCAATCGAATTAAATAGGCTTGTTAAAATACACGCTCACGCACACGCACGCACATATATGCGCTCAGTGAGGCTTTTCATTATTAAAAATGCGAGTAGAAAGTCGCCGACTTGGAGATACTCGTCTTGTATGTTCCTATGCACATTATCTATATTTATCGTACACTTGAAATAAAATCGCAACGTGATGTTCTCAGCTTTTTTATTCTGTGAGATACGTATGTGAACGATCGAATACTGGAAATCAATAGGTATCGATTTTGAGTAAACTAGAACAGTTTTCGACAAAAATAAATGAATAGCCGGCAGACAAGACATGCAAACATCGCCGCAGCCTGTAGGCCCGATCCGCAGTCCATATACTTATTTTCCAAAATTGTTTTCCTCTTGCCTGTTACATATCTCAACAGAAATCTACATATGCCCTACTTGTTAATTTTGAATGGGCGCAGGGTGCAATAAAAATATGGCGAATCCGTCCGAGCGAATGGTTGCCAATATGGCCGCCGACTGGCAGCGTTCCGTATCCGTGGCTATGGCGAGTGCGTGCGTGCCGCCATTTTAATTTTCAGCTGCAGCCGGAAATGCGCATTTTATGCAAGTGTCACCCAATGGCGTCCAGCGGAAGTTGTTTATCTTATGCAGTTGCCGCTATCGTAGCCATCGCCTCTCTCCCGCCGCTTCGCTACGCGTCGCTAAAAATACCCTTGCAGCGGGTATTATGATTATGATTATATCACGAAATGTCAGCGCGGTCAGCATGTACATTTATATAGTAGTATATTTCATTCGACTCGATTCAGGGCTGTTCGTCTGTCTGTCTTTATACTCTGTACTTAAATACAAACTTATGTACAGAAAGTTCACATACATACTTAGTACACATCGGATGATTATGTGTCAAAATGTCAACACAAATCTTATGCTTGTTTTGCAAAATATACCGGATTATTAAAATTGTTTTGTTTATATCTGATATGTTCTTACACCCTGCTCCTCAATGTAGTATATTGGATGTCGCCATGAATGTGCCACAAAAAGTGCTCAAGCTCTTTTTTTCTATCTCGTCTAAACTATAACTAAATTAACTAAAATAGATATGTGCCAAGCTGTCGTTAAAATTTAGCTGTGCGTAATAGTCTTATTCTATTGTCAACATTTCTTACATTTTTTTCTAATAAGTAAAACGGCCTGTAGGTCGTACTATTTGGCTTTTGGAAGGAAAACTTTGCATTCCTCAGGTAAATCTATTCAAACCGATCAGCTGCATGTTACCGATAACGGACACTTGCCAATGGAACCGCAAAATGTGAGGAATGTAAATGTTACATTTTTTGAGCACAGTGGAAACAGGCCATTAATTAAATAAATAAAAAATAATCGAATAAAATGATTGTTCAGAGAACTTAAGAATCCTTTGATAGATTTCAATTGTTATCGGCTTCAAAACGCAACCGAATTAATGCTCATGTCAGCAAGGGTATTTTAAGTTCGGAAAGCCAAAGATAACTATCGTTTATCCTTCTTACTTTTTTTTTTTTGTGTTTTGCGCGCATGTCAACGGATTTGCGGGTCTGTGACTTTTATGAGCCTCCCGAGTGACACTGAAGCGGCGCATAGGGCCAGGGACTTGCGAGGCGCTTATTACATAATCCGGCAGCTCATTATTAAATGAATTTACAGGATATTAAAAAAAAAAAAGAGAGCGCGAAAGCTTTGTCAAAAACACCAACATGCCGCATGCCTCACGCCGCACGCCACACGCTACATGCCACCTGCTTTAGTTCTTAATAGACGTTCATTAAATGCGAGAGTTTTAATTGAAGCCGCCGCCGCTGCGGTTGACATCCCGCTTATGACGAAATCAGAGCTTATGCATTCAGCTTAATCAGATTTTCACAAATGTTTTCAATTAAATGACAACACGCTTAACAAGCCCAGTTAACCATGGCCGGAGCGATACACTGGCCAAAGCCCGCATAAGTCGGTTAACGAATGTGCGATTTACGTGCGATTTACGATTTGTCATTGCCCAATGCATTATCATTGTAATTAAAATTATTTAAACGGTTTTAAAACATCGAACGAATATCCTTAAGCTGATTAAACTTAAGCGAGAAAGTAGGGCTACATAAGATACCCATTTAGACATATGTCTGCGAAGTGCTCTGGTACTAAAGTTTTATTTTCGACTGGTTGTTCCTATAGAAGCCAATTAAGTGTATGATAGGGAGTTCTAGTTAGTTTACAGAAGGATTTGAATATGGGTGCATATATGTGTGCATATTACTTTGCTGCTGGTCATAAGAAGCATAGTAGAGAGCTTTAAGACGATTCTGATAACAAAGTGCAAAGTTGCATCCTGTCTAAGAGACTTGCTTTGATAGACGGATAGACAGTTGTTGAAACTGATCAAGAATATATATATTTGACGGAATCGAAGACGTTTACACATTTCGTGACATAATTAGCATACCCTCTTTGCAAATCAATAAATAAATTGTTTTCTAACATTTTTTGAAAATTCACCCACACTGTCGAAATATGGGTGGAAAACAGATAACAGCTTATCCAGCTCGTAGAGCTGATCTAATGGGAATGTGTGATTGGAATTCGAAGCAATTTATGTTGCAGGTGGGCAAAAAAAAAACTAAAAAATTTGTAATTTATTAAATAAAACAACAAGTGTCGTAGATAAATATGTGAGTTTCTAGCACAGTATATATTTTAAATTTCAATTATTTACACAAAAACCACCGCGACAATTGGCAAAACGAATGGTAATAATAAAGTTGAAACAAATATTAAGTTAATTAACCGTGGTGAATCATACGCTGTACAGCACCAAAATTTAACACACTCTAAAAAAAAAAGTGTAATAATAACAAAGAGCATAAAAAAGAGTGTAAAAAACATTTTTAATGTTTATGCGGCTGAAATATGATGCAAAATAATTAGCTGTGTGGCAACAACAAGTAAAAGCAGCAACAATAGCAACTGCAAAGCTCAAACCGTGTTTATAGAAATATGGAAAAATAACACACACACACACACATACATCCACACACACACACACACACAGGCATGCGCACATTACATACATGTCATGCACACATACACACAAAAACAAAATGGCCGGAAGCAAAATGTTGCTGCCGTGCACTTGATAGCTGCTGCTGTCGCTGCTGCTGCTGTTGCTGCTGCTGCTGGCTGTCGTCTGCATCAGCGCTTAGGGATATTTCACAATATTCGCGGCGGCTGTTGCCTGCTTGACCCCCACACCGCTCGGGCTTTTGTCACCTGTCAGCCTTCCACTTGTTGCGGTTGTTGCAGACGCCAGTCGCTGCTGTTGCTGCTGTTTAGTGCTCACTGCTGCTGCAGTTGCTGCTGATGCCGGATGATGCAAGTGCGTGCCATAGTGCACGGCGCCCGGATGGCTGAAGTATGGTATTACGGCTGGACTTTGGGAGTGCTGTTGCTCCTCGGCATAGCTGGACAGCGGCCCGGGATGGCTCTGATAGAATTGCTGTTGCTGTGGGTGCTGGTGTTGTTGTTGGTGTTGCAACGCCGGCTGGTAGGTATGGTAATGGTGTATTGGCTGTGGTTGTTGCTGTCCCAATGCGTTCGCTGCTGTCAATCGGACAACATGAATTGGTGGCGTTGATTCATGTGCTAGATTGTAAGCCGCCTTTGGGTTATTATTGCTAAAACGTGGCAATATTGCAAATTGATGTTGCTGCTGAGGATGTTGCTGTTCGGCTGGTGCCTGCACATAAATTGGATTGTAGTGGACGAGGGGCAATGCCTGATGTTGCTGTTGCTGCTGCTGCTGCTGCTGCTGCTGTTCGTGTGTAGCTGCCGTGGGCAACACCAATGTTGTTGTTGCTGCTGTTGTTGCTGGTGCCGAAGCGGAAGGAGCTCCTGCTGTTGGCACGGTCGCATATTTGTGCTGTTGCTCTGCCTGCTTGAGCCCCAGTCGCAATAGTCGCGCCTGATGTTGCTGCTGCTGTTGTTGCTGGTGTAGCGGATATGCTGCAAAATAGAAGTAAATGTAATCCAGTCATATTAACGTTGTCATCAGAGCATCAACACTCGTCGGACCCTCATTGCCAATGGCACAGTGAACGCCAGCGTTGCCACACTGCATGAAATGCACACTAATTGCCAGATCCACTCTCCGGTACAGTTGTGCTTACAGCCCGCAGCGAGGTTATGTTAAGCACATCAGCAACATGTGTGTGTTCAGTTTTCGACTTTGTGGTATAGCAGTCAATTTGACAGTGAAAACAAGCACAGTGGTTGGACTGGAGGTTGCAATTTATGAACTGTTGCCGTTGTGTGTTTTTATGCATGTTGTTAACATCTTTCTACACAACTATTCTAATAAAAAGCTGGCAACAAACTGTAAAGTCAACTAAAGTGAAATATTTGAAATGAATAAAGAACGCATCATTATTTATAAGAATTTTAAAAATAAGTTATTGTCCCTAAATCTTGAAAGCTTAAGAAAGCAAACGGCCAACATTTATGATATTACATTATATAAAAACTTAATTTATAGTTGTCCGTTCTATTGAAAATATTTTCAAATATTTTCAAATCGAAATTCAGGGCTTTTTTAAAATTGGCATCTAACAATTATGGTTATATAAATCCATTTGGATGAACAAGTCTTTCCCAAAGGATTTAGAGGCGATTTAGGCTTTCGGTTCAGTTCTATTTTGACAAAATGGCTTGGTTTAAGTATTGATTCATTCCGCTCTCCTATGACCCCTTCTCGAAGTGAGCATTTAAAATCATGATTAGATATTATTTACATACCGTATAAAGTGGTTTGCTGGCCTACTGGCTGCTCAGCATAGATCGTTGGCGTCTGCTGATAAACACGCTGCAGATGAAGCTGCGGTTGCGGCTGCAGCTTTGGGTGCGTCTGATATATGATCGGCTGATAGACAGAAGCGGGC